GGGGCTGACAGACAGAGACTTTCTACAATCTCAGGATCATCAATAGCTCAGATTCCGACACCCAGGGTCCCTCACCTGGCCAGGTTTGACCTCAGGGGTGGGGCCGTTGTAGCCTTTGAGCCGCGATGTCCTGAAGACGTTGTCGATGTCCCCGAAGGAGTAGACACAGACGGCAGAGCTTCCCCTGAGGGGACAACGACGGGGTCAGGGGGGACACCGGGCTGTGCCCATCGCCGTGCCTGCTCCAGCTGCTTTCCAGAGGGAAAAGAGGGCTGGAAGGGAGGATTTGGGCCAGGGCCCCTCACCAGGTGTTGGTGAAGAGCCCGTAGACCTTGGAGCGCCGCCAGTCGCTCGCGGGGACGAAGAAGACGTCCTGCAGCCAGTTGAAGTTGCCCTTGGTGACGGGGTCCACGCAGATCAGGGTGGCCTTGAGGAACGTCGTCCACTTGGAGGCTGAGAGGGAGCTGGTTCCTCCCCTGTCCTCCTGGGGGACAGGGACAGCAGGGATGGAGTCAGGGTTTGGGGGGGGAACACCCCAAAATGCCCATCCTGACGGGGAACCGCAGGATGCTGCCACAACGCCGTTCCTGCCATCCCGGAGCAGGGAATTCTCTCCCCTGTGAGGCCGAAGGATGTGGCTGTGCCCCACTCAGAGGGGTCAAACCAAGACTGGGTAAGCCCAGAGGAGCTGGCGTGTCCCCTGTCCCCTCAGAGCTGCCACCCCACCCTGTCCCCGAGGTACCTTACACAGCTGGGCCACCCGCGAGATGTTCCGGGGCGCCTCGGGGCTCTTGTCTGGGTTGTCCTCGCGGAAGAAGTAATAAATCTTGTCCTGGTGAGGCTCCTCATGCCTCAGCGTGGTGGCCTTGACAAACTGAGGGTCTGGGGAGGGAAGGGACAGAACTCGGACCTGATTTCATCGAGGGAGACACCGGTGGGGACAGGGCAGGGAGTGGGACACGGCTGCGGCCCAGGGACAGGACAGCTCCAAGCCTGGGCTGCCCCTGCTGATCCTTGGGGAGGCTGAGCTAGAACCGAGACTAGACAGGGCTAAAGCAGGGATTTATTAAAAAGATCTCCTCGGTGGATCCACCTTGGGCAGCACCAGAGCCCAGCCAGGGCTGCAGCCAGTGTGAACCAAAATGGTCCCAAAATGGAAAGCTGGTCCTGAGGTGTCTCACTTCTCTGAGTTCTGCTCCATTTGCATATTGGGGTTCATTGTGCAAGGTTATGAAATCCCATCCTGCTTGTTTTTCTCTCTCCAGCCCACGTTGTTTGTGCTCCTGGGGCTGAGATTTGGATCACTGGTCCTTGGTCCCCAGCCAGAGCAGGAATTGTTTTGTGTCCCTGCCCTGATACGAATCCCAGACCCACACACTAAAGCAGCACAGAATGTGAGAAGAGAAAAGCCAAAGCTGAGGCATCAGGGCCACCTTCCCAGCGCCTCCTGCCTGACTGCACAGACTCATTCCCTGCAGGGAAGGACTCCCTGGAGCCTGGGGAAGCCTTGGCAGCCACAGAAACCCAAGTCCCTCCCTGCTCTGCAAGGAAGGAAGGATCCCTCAGGAGGAGGGATCCGTGCTGTTTGTAGGGAAAACCCCATAACACCATTCCTATTAATGCTCCCTTGCCATGATGGGCATCCCTGGGTCCCTCTGAGCATCCCGAGCTGCTGTTTCCACAGCAGGGATCTCCAGGGATCAGAACCCTGCTGTTCCCACGCCAGGGAATGTCCCAGGATCATCAGCCTTGCAGGTCTGGTTTGCTTTCCTCCTCCCTGTTTTATCCCGGCATCATTTTAATTCCGTTTTTTATCCCAATAATCCCCCATTTCCCCCCTGGGAAGCCACCACAAGCCCAGGGAAGCGGAGCAGGGTCCTTTCCCCGTGTCCCCTCGCTGTCCCTGTCCCTGCCCCAGGTTTGACCCTGGCCGGGGTTTGCCCAGAGCCCCTGCCCGCACTGGAAGTTGCCCAACGCTGCTGCCAGGCATTTTGCACAGCCCAGTTTCCTTCCTCCCTCACCAGCCTCATTTCCCCATGGCCCGAGGATGGGGAAGTCGCTTTTGTGCTGGTTTGGGACAGGGGTCATGTGGCACAGACAGCTGGCTCCCTCCTGGCTGGCACTGAGGGCACCCGAGCCGCTGGGTTAAGCTCAGGGGGCACTGGGGCAGAACAGCTGCACCACAAACTGGAGTTCCAGCGTGCCAGGATGCTGGGGATTAACTGGGCATCTCCCTCAGCACAAAATTCCACTGCCAAAGAACCAAGAATTTCCAGTTCTTGAGGTTCAGAAGGTGATTCAAGAAGATCAGGGCCCAGTGACGTTAATTGTTTATGGGATTTGTCTCATTGGTGGCTTTACACCAATAATCGTCACCATTGGGTATTGGCCATTCCTTGGCTGGCGCTGGCACACCAAACAGGTCTCAAAGGGTTTGTCTGGGCTCTGATTGGTTGAACATTTGGTGTTTGAGCCCGCTGACTTGGCTAAAACAAGCCAAATGATTGGTTTTGGTGGATCTGCAGGTGGATCTGCAGGTGGATCTGCACCGCAAGAGCAAGCGAAGCAAAGCTAACGAGTTTTGCTGAATCCAACACGGATCAGCCCCCACAAGGAACTCTGGAGCTTCTCCTGCGCCCTGCCAGCTGTGGGGGGGCAGAGTGCAGCGGGGATCCCCCCCGGTGGGAATGTCCCCCCAGCGGGAATGTCCCCTCGGTGGGAATGTCCCCCCAGTGGGAATGTCCCCTCGGTGGGAATGTCCCCTCGGTGGGAATGTCCCCCACTCACTCTGCATCACGGTGTCACTGGTGTAGAGCTCTCCCCCGCCCCTGACGCGGCGGAATCGAGGGATCTTCCCGTTCTGCTGGCTCTTCTTGATGGTGGAGTAGATGTCCTGGCCTGTGGGACAGCAGGGAGTGGGGAGGGGATGGATGAGGAGGAGGGAAAGCAGCCAGGACTTCCTGGGTGCCGCAGGGATGGTGGGAACGGAACAGGAACGCCAGGCCCAACACGCAGTCCTTGAAGGGTGGCAGGGACAGATCCTTGGAAGGATCCTCCCCTGTGCCCACACCAGGCCTGGAGCAGTGGGATCATTGCAGGCCCTGCTTCCAAGGTTTCTCCTGACCCAAAGCATTCCTGATTCAGGTCCTTCCTTCCAAAGTCCTTCCTGACCCAAAGCATTCCTGATTCAGGTCAAGCATTCCTGATTCAGGTCCTTCCTTCCAAGGTTTCTCCTGACCCAAAGCATTCCTGATTCAGGTCCTTCCTTCCAAGGTTTCTCCTGACCCAAAACATTCCTGATTCAGGTCCTTCCTTCCAAAGTCCCTCCTGACCCAAAGAATTCCTGATTCAGGTCCTTCTTTCCAAAGTCCTTCCTGACCCAAAGCATTCCTGATTCAGGTCCCTCGTTCCAAAGTCCCTCCTGACCCAAAGAATTCCTGATTCAGGTCCTTCCTTCCAAAGTCCCTCCTGACCCAAAGAATTCCTGATTCAGGTCCTTCCTTCCAAAGTCCTTCCTGACCCAAAGCATTCCTGATTCAGTCCCTTCCTTCCAACATTTCTCCTGACCCAAAGCATTCTTGATTCAGGTCCCTCGTTCCAAAGTCCTTCCCAACCCAAAGAATTCCTGATCCAGGTCCCTTGTTCCAAAGTCCCTCCTGACCCAAAGCATTCATGATTCAGTCCCTTCCTTCCAAGGTTTCTCCTGACCCAAAGCATTCCTGATTCCCAATGTTCCTCCCACGCCCCGGTGGGAATCTCCAACCTCTCTCCCAAAGGGATGTGCACTTCCATGGGGACAAAATGAGGAGAGCCAAGGGGACAAAGCCCTTGGAGCAGCCTCAGAAGGCTCCTGTTTGTCCCAGGGAGGCTTTGAGCACAACAAAACCTCTGGAAAACAGGATAATGGGAAAACATCCCACTTACCATCGACAACGACGAGGGTGTTGGAGTCAGGGGTGAAGGGAGCAATCCCTCTCCCATCCCAGGGCGGGCTCTCCTTCCTCTGCGTCTGGGGAAGGACAGAAAGGGATCCTGAGTGGGGCCAGGCTGGGTTTTCACCACCCGGGATGGGGGAAGGATCCGTACCACATTCCAGCAGGTGGGAGCGCAGGCGCCGGTCCCGCACACCAAGAGCCTGTCCCCGTACTGCTCCACCAGGGTCAGGTAATTCCGGCTGTCCTCCTGCCGGGGAAAGGAGCCTGCCAATGGCACACAGCCCCCGGCACCACGCGGATTCCCTGATCCTTCCTGCCTTTTCCTGGATCTCCTCATCCAGAGGCAGCTCACGAGGAGCACGCGCAGCTCCTTCAGCCCAGATCCTCCAGCCCTCCCCATCCCACTGTTCCCTCTTCAACCCAAATCCTCCTCATCTCATTTCTTCAACCCAAATCCTTCCCATCCCGGTATTCCCACTTCAACCCAAATCCTCCTCATCTCATTCCTTCAACCCAAATCCTTCCCATCCCGGTATTCCCACTTCAACCCAAATCCTCTTCATCTCATTCCTTCAACCCAAATCCTTCCCATCCCGGTATTCCCACTTCAACCCAAATCCTCCATATCCTCTTATTCCTTCAACCCAAATCCTCCCCATCCCATTATTCCTTCAACCCAAATCCTCCCCATCCCACTGTTCCCTCTTCAACCCAAATCCTCCAGCCCTCCCCATCCCGCTGTTCCCCCACAGGTGGGACCTACCAAATTCTCAGAGGACACGCACTGGCCTTCATTTCTCACCGGGAATTCTTCCTAGGATAAAAGAGAGGGAAACGTTTCCATTCCTGCTTTCCCAACACCACCAGGCATGGGCTCAGCGTGCCACAAGGTCACCAAACTCCACGAGATGTCCTTGTCCCTCACCCCGGGGGACTGAAAACCCTTGGGAAGGCTGGGCTGGATGCCAGTGATGAAATCTGAGAATCGCTGCTGTCTATTCAGAAAGGATTCCTGGCTGGAAACAGCCAGGAGGGATCCAGAAAGAATCTAAAGCTGGAAACATCCAGGAGGGATCCAGAAAGGAATCCTGGGTCTAAAAATCCAGGATAGATCCAGAAAGGATCCCTGACTGAAAAAATACAGGATTGATCCAGAAAGGATGACACGTTGGAAGTGTCCAAGATGGATCCAGAAAGGATCCCCTGGAAACACCCAGGATGGATCAATAAAAAAATCCCAGGCTGAAATTACCCAATATGGATCCAGAAAGGATCCCTTGGAACCATCCAGGATGGATCCAGAAATGATCCCCTGGAAACACCTAGGATGGATCAAGAAAGGATCCCAGGCTGAAAATACCCAGGATGGATCCATAAAGGATCCCCTGGAAACACCCAGGATGGATCAAGAAAGGATCCCAGGCTGAAAATACCCAGGATGGATCCAGAAATGATCCCCTGGAAACACCCAGGATGGATCAAGAAAGGATCCCAGGCTGAAAATACCCAGGATGGATCCATAAAGGATCCCCTGGAAACACCCAGGATGGATCCAGAAAGGATCCAGGACAGGAAACACCCTCCCTGAAGGTACCAAAGACATCCGAGGGATCCCACCCAGGGAAGAACCCACCCATGGTGAATGTGGGAGATTTAATCCTGACCCTAACACGAACCCCCATAAATCTAAACCTAAAACCAAAGCCAGCCCTAACCCTAAGACTCACTGGGAGAGATCCCAGCGACTAAAGGACCTGGCAATGGCCAAGAGCGGAGATTTAAACCTAAACCAAACCCTGACCCTAACACTAATCCTAAACCTAATCCTAAAGCTAACCCTGACCCCGACACTAACCCTAACACTAACCCAGATCCAAACTGAAAGCTTGACACCAAACCTAACCCTAACCCTAAACCAAACCCACACCCAGACCGTGACCCTAACCCTAATCCTGACCCTAACCCTAAACCTGACCCTAAACCTAACACTAACCCTAACACTAAGCCCAAACCCAAACCCAAACCCT